TCCTCCGTCAACCTAAAGAGCATTTCCAAAGCTTAAACAAGCACTGTATACAGAGTATATTTAATCAATGTGCATATCAGCATCCCAAAGTTGTAAAGCAAGAAGGGTAAGTTTAAGTTCTGCTAACAACGATCAGATGTGGCAAACACAAGAGAAGATGACAAGCTCATTTCCTCCACCCACAGTCAATACTAAAAATGGAACAATGACCACTGTGGTAAACAAAGCATTTCTTCCATTTTTGCTGCCAGACTTCTTTGCAGAAGGAGAATGCAAGTGTGGACTGTTGTATTAGATGTGCACAACCCTGGAAGTATCACATTATTTTAAGTATGTTGGCCAGGGCTAGGAGTTTGACAGAAAGGGAGTATTTGAATGGCTCTGCACTGACCACAGCATATCAGCTGCATGATTTACGTATGTAGCAACTACTTGCAGTACTTTATGTTTCCACAGCAAAGCCTGTGATGAGGCAAGACCCACACTTACTAACAGAGCAGACAGTCTTGGCAAGGGACACAACAGACACAAGCAGTATCTAGAAAAATTAATTTCCTTTGCCATTTGATCTAGCAAAAAGAAAAGACACAAATATACACCCCTGAGTCAGTCAGCGGAACCAACCTGGAAGAAAGCAAGTGAAGAACTCAGCACCAATAGCCTTTGGGGCAGGAGAGACTGCATCACTTCTAAGTTATGATAAGTTCTAATGTGTTATCATGGAGTCAGAAAAGTAATGCAAAGCAAGTGGTCTACCCCAAAAAATTACACAGAAGTTCTAGTATTCAACTAAGTTTTCCTATACAAAGAAGAAGAAGGACCCAACCACAGTATTCAGATGATGACCATAAGTGTAACAGCCAGTCTTCTGAGTCTACTTTCAGAAACATCTGCAGATATTTTTCCTCCCTGGTGCATGATTCTGCATAAATACACAGCTGGTGGTTCAAGGCCAAAGCTGACCTTGCACCCAAGACACCTCTGAATAAAGAAAAGAAAGTTTAAGTACTCAGAACTGTAGTCTTCAAATTTCTAAGATTCCCGTTACAGTGGAAATGAGAAAAAGCTGTTTCCAAAATGGCTCTGTCAACAGAAAAGCAGTAAAGCTTAATAAAAAAAAAATACAAAAAATTCTTGACTATTTATCAACATTGAAAACATTATGGGGTGTGTTACCAACCAGTAAAAGCTATGAAACAGAACAAAGAATTGAGAAAATGAGTCTGTGGTTTCAAGTTTACTTTTTTAAATTTGTTTTAGAAGTGACCTCCCTTCCCAAGATGAGTTAGTTTTCAGTTCTTCCTACCCTTTAATTCATTACTATTTACCACATGCCCTCAAACTAGGGGAGGAGGAGAGGTGGGTAACAAATGCACAAACCCCAAGACACATATAAATGAAATCTGAAGGCCTCTCCTCTTCATTGTATCCAAAACTGTCCAGAGGGATAAGAATGAGAGAGATGAAGATATTGCCACCTCTGGATTACAAGTAGGACTAATTAACACATTTTCACAACAGAGAGATTTTCTTACCAAGGCTCTCTCAAATTGCTCTTTCTGAACAATACCATTCAAATGTTAAGTTGCAGTGAAGAGAACATGCGAAACTACCCAAACTAGTGTTTCCAACAAGAAAGGAAAAAGAATTCCCATTACACTGATGCCTTTTCTTTCTTTATTTTTTTTTAAATTAGGCCTAGAGCATTAGCCTTATTTTTTCATTCCATGATCATCACGGATTTGTCCCTACTGCTATTTCAACTTTAGAGATACATAAGCAATCATGGCAATATACAGATTATGCTTTTTGTATTGTTTTTAGGTCCAAATTAGTTGACAGGCACTCCTCTGGAGAAGAGCTTCTTTCTGTACTTGTTACACCATGAGGTGATGAGGCTGTTGGCAAGCAGGCTTCTAGCTGGAAAGCACATGCTTGTGTCACCACATGTTCTAGTTACCAGATTAAAATACCCATAACAGGTCTCCTGGAAAAACCAAGTAAAGCACAATTTCAGACTTCAAAATAAGGTGAACGTGCAGGAATCATGTGCTTAAGTATATTGGGAAAAAGACTTTTCAAAAGAGGAGCAAAGCCCAGTGCTGGTGTGCGGAGAAATAGAAAACCTTGGGCTGAAGAATCATCCCAGTTTAACACAGATATTAATTTGTGGGTAAGTTAGCACACCATGCTCCCTAAAATGCTGGTGTGAGACCTTCACATTTACTGCAACACTGGGCAGCAATCCAACCAACCCAGTTTCCTGAACTGAACTTTCCCAATATCCATTACATTTTGGTACTGAATAAAGAAAGGTAAATATATGACAAATTTGCTTACAGAGTTTCACTTTTTTAATACATACTGTAACTGATTATTTCTTCCCTGTCTTCCCAAATACATTAGGGCTTTGGTTGCATCGATAATTGCTTGAAACAGTTCCTTTCCTTTAATTATTGCAGTAGGCAACCATAAAAAGAAGCTGTACAGAGCTGATGTGGCCATAGGAGACACAAACATTGTACAAAGAACATTATCCAAAGAAAGTTGAAGTCATAGTTAAAAATCTTAATCCAGTTAGCATCAGTGATTTCACTCAATAATGTTATATATCACTAATATTTAGGAATAACTTCTGCTATCATACACATCTACCAAGTTAATAGTCTTTAAAAAAATAATAAAAAGTCACAGGAGTATTATGCATAGTTTACTTGCCATTGCACAGTCTAGAAGTTCTGACATTTAAGATTATTTGCAAATAAAGCACTCTGTATTTTGTCTGTATTTGCAATTTGAAATGAAAAAGTACATGCTGCCTGTTTAAATTATTCTCAGACAGGTTGCCCAAAAAGATGATTTTAAAGATGCCCAAATGTGTATCAGCCTAAGGCCATATTGTACTTGCTTTCAGTTTCAAAGACCTCCTTTCATCTCTGAAGAATGGAATGTTGTTTACTGCTAAGGATGTTTTGCCATGTTATCATGAATGTATTACAAATGTTCTGCTTCTTGAACTAGAGAGTGTTTGTCAAAACCATTCTTTATTCGACATGAGGAGTCTTAAGCCTTTTATAAATCCTGCTCAGATATATTGGGACACTTAAAAACATTTAAATCCAAACATCCTTCTCAAGGATCGCTATCCTGCATAATTTCACAAAATAGAAAAAAAAAAGGTCTGCAGAGAAATGCTTTCGGGTAGCATGAAGCCTAAGAACTAGGCACTGGAATGCAAGCTTGCATGCAAGAAACCAAAGTGGTTTCACTGTCAGCATCAGTTTCACCTACTGCCCTTACAAATCAGTCTATATGGCAACCATAACAGAAGCTGCTTAAAATACAGCAGATAAATTTGTGACAATGGAATGTTATCAAGATTTATGGTCAGTTTTAGGCGTGTCATGTCCACATTCTTTTGAAGTGGCAAAGTAAATAATGGATCACCAGCTTTCAACAGCAACACTGTTATCTGCCTCACTTTGGCATAATCTCATGAAGCTTTTAATAAAGCAGACATACCACAGATGATGAGAAATAACTGAAAGCTACTTAACAGGCAGACTTGTTAAATATTCAGAAACAAATCCGGCAATAATTACAGAAAACCACTATGAAGAACAGGAATAGTTACCCGATAGAAGCTTGGGGGAAGATGAGAAAAGGATGGGGAAAACTGTTATTGTGCTAGACTGATTTTTTCAAGTTTTTCCAGTGGTATTAAAAAAAAATAACCCTACATTTAGCTTCATGTGAAAGTGCATTTAAAAGCTTCAAAGAAGAGAAGAAAAGCTGCTCAAAAGCTGTGAACGCTGCTTTCTGCAGCTTGTTTAGAGAAAGATTGCTTCCCTTCACTTGTGGCTAACAGGGAGTATTCAAAGACCTACTTCTGTATCCATGCCAGGGAAAAATAAGTTAAGAATTCACTGAAGCAACTCTATCTCACCTGCTTAGTGAGGCCTCTTGTCACAGTCCAAATGAAGAAAAAACTACTGGACAGTTGCCACCACTGTCTCAGTTACAATGCAAATAACTGAAGACAAGGTCCTCCCAGACTCTGCTATGCTAAAATGACAGTGTTTCCAATCCCATCATCTATTTCAACTTCCCAGACAACAAGAATGAAAAAAACTGCAGGTTGATCAGAAAGGACAACTTTACCACCACTGCCTCCACACAAGAGTTACTTTCCAGGCTCCTGATTGTTGTGATTATGTCAGGGCAACCAGCCTGTCACCTGAGCAATATCGAGGCTTCATGACAGTGGGGCAAAACTGGCTGTAACACCCATTTCTCCATCTCCAGCAAATATGATGACCTCTAAAAGAAGTAGGCTGTCAGTCTCCTCAGGGCTTCTGCAGCCACAAAAGCTTCCCAGGTACTGGGAACAGTTACTCTTCAGCATATTGAGAGATGTGCTCAGAAAAGGTTTGTTAAAAGCACTTTCAGTATACAACATGAGCCATAGAAGATGATCTGGTTCGTTGCAGGAAGTGAATGGTCTAGCCTTATTGACTTACGTACAGCATTTTGGGAGAACCTAGCAAAGGTGAACTTACAGAATATTGGAGAAGAGTCCCTGTGCATTGTGCATGAATAAATGTGCCCAGTCAAATGTTAAATCAAAACCAATTCAAAAGCCATCCAAACCAGGAACTGTGAGTTCACCTGAGGGGCCATGACAATTATCCACTGTGGAAGGCCACCACAACTTGGTTACCCTCCCCCATAGATGGGAATTTCTCTGAGTCATTATTTCATTCAGTCCTTTACACACTGTGCTCTTATACACAGTCTTTCCTTTAACACAGAATTACACCCTCCCATCAAATTTACCAGAAACAATCCTTTCAAGCACCTAACACACAAACTAGGTTTCTTACAGAACGCAACAAACCATTTTGTGTTAGAGAATTCCCACTTCTTCCTAAAGGGAAAGGTAAATGTAATTCAGTGTGAAGATGTAACAGCATGCAAGTCGTTGCAAGCCATGTCTGTACCTCGAGCCCAGATCCAACGTTTGATGAATCCAATGGTCTTTTCTTCCTTGGTCCAATGGCTGCCAAAGCTGTGAGGTTGGCTTCTCTTTGCTGCATCTGTGCTAATTCCAACTGTTGCATCTAATTAAAAAAAAAATCCACATTAATTATGACACGTATTATGTTAAAGGTTCTTTTTAGAGCTGCTTCAGATGGCTCTATAGCTCCTACAGAAACAATGTGTTTTACAGCATCGTTCCCCTCTTTCTGGTCACTTTTGACAAATTCCAGTACTCAGTCATGCTTGGAGTCCTATGGACAGCACTGTTCAAGTAACACCTTTTACAGAGACCACGCTGTGGTATCAATGCAGCTTTAACATGAGCATTGCAGTTGCTTCCTTACCTCATAAGGCTTGTTGTTTCTAGTTAATGGAAAATCTTGGTCTGAATGGTTTATGAAGCTGGATTAGTGTTAAAAATTGAAGTTACTGGGTTATGTGACCTGATTTTATTCTTATTTCAAAATCTCAATTCCTGACTGCACAAGAAAGATACCCAATTTCCTCTATTACATGAACTCAGCACTTAATACTGCCTTTGTGAAACACTGTACTACCCAATTTAACAGCATGCTGCTAGTTGACTACTATTCTTTCTTTTCCCAGCACATATTTGAATGCTCAGGAACATCTGAAGCAAGGTAGCGATACAGTGCATGTTTATTTTCACTCACCTCCCAAACTGTTGAACACTAAGAAATCATTACAAACAACCTTCATCTGAGTTAGGTAAACTTGGGATGGGATAGAAAATCACAGTAGAGAGGATTAAAATTTAAAAAGAAAAAAAAAAAAAAGAAAAAAAAAAAAAAGAAGTTTTATTCTTGCATTTCAAGACACATTCTATTCAATAATTATCAATGCCAGCTGCTCTGGAGCCCAACCCAGTGAAGTCTGATGACAGACTTACTGTCTTAGATCAGCCACCTTGCTAATACAACCACACTGCTTCCAGATCCACCAGCTGTCCAACTTGGAGCATGGGTGGAGAAGGAAGGCTTTCCAAACATAAACCTCTGGGTGATGTCAACCCTAGGATCGTCTGACCTGCAACTAATATAGCTCTGTAGCCCACATCCTTAGGACTTAAAAGATTGTTCAGATGGGGATTCTCTGCATGGATGTGCGTCCACATCTTAAAAAAATTAAAAGTACAACCATACCATGGGAAGGAAAGCATCCAAGTTTCCTCCCCTCCCCCATCTTAAACCAAATAAATTCCGTGGAGTTCCTCACCCAGTCAATACTTTCCAAGCTTGCAACACTCTATGATTTTGCTTGCTTTTCAGCTCTCAGAGATCCCACTTGGAGAGAAGAGCAGTTGAGAACAACTGAGCTTGCAGTCCCTACATGGTATATGTCTCCTACTTGCTACCACTTAAATAGAGATGAATCCACAACAAAGAAATACTTTGGGGTTCAGGGGGAGTGTTTTGGGGGAGAGAGCTTTTGGCTGGGTGGTTTCTGGGGGAGTGTTGCTACAAGCCTTACTTTATCATATAAGTAGACTTCAGTGACAGTTGCAGCTTCACATCAGGTACTGCAACAACTAGGCTATTTAAAAAAAAAACCCAGTATTTCAGGTCAAGATTCCAAAAAGGACAGTGTTCCCTGGAAGACTCAAACTGCTCAAGGTTTTTCAGCAGAAATCAGGGAAAGCGAGATTTTAACAAATATGTTGAGACTAGAGTATTTTTGGCTTTTATTGTAGCAGTATTTCTTCACACAGTAGTAGTTCGTCAAAGGTAGATACCATCATTCACTTACCACACACACTATTCTTGCTTTTGTGTGCAGTGTACACAATTAAAACCTTATTTATCAAAATTCACTCAATTCAGTCAGCTTGTTTTTATCCAAATACACGCAACTGCTTTCAAGAATACTTTACAGACTATGAACTTTCAAACTACTAGTATTTTGCAATAGTCTGAGGTTAAGTCCAGCCAGCCTGGAGCATAAAATGTTTAAGATAAATTTTCCTTTAATCTCACATATAGATTAAATATCATATCTTTATATTCAGTAACACACAATTAAAGATGGGGGAAAGTGAAAATAAATTAAAAGAAAAATTTGAAACGTCACAAATGGTGAAAGATTTAGGCAGGAGCAATAAAATGCTTAGAATAAGCGTTAAATCTCAGCAATAAAATGCTGAGATTTTTTGGCAGAGGCAGGTGCTGACTTCCAGCCTCAGCTGCCCAGGACTCCAACACCTGGAGCCACCCACCCTTGCAAGCAGCTAAGGAGCATCCCTGCAGAAGTAAAGCACTCCTTCCTACTAGCAGAGTAGTTCAGTCATCATGATGGTCACATGTACCCCACAATCTTCTTGCCATGAGAAGGGGCACTGCAACATGCCATGCACATAGCACCCCTCTGGGGAAAGATTAAACTCCTAAAGCCTCCAGTGAAAAAGAAAACCAGAAGAGGAAAGATATTTGCTTTAATTTAGGAACCATTACACTCAAAGTAAAACGACTTTTAAAACTATTAAACTTAAGACAAAGCAAAACAAACCAAAAGCCTTTATTAGTCTAACCATGTGTTTCCATCCCCAGGAACCACTGGAAAACACATCCCCATTCCCTCTCAACTTTATAAAATACACACCAACCAGCTTACTGCAGTTAGACTTATCAAAAACATGTGGCTGCTCAACACCTCTGGCTGGAAGCAGCATTGAAATAAGCCCCTCTCTCCTTTTTACAGATGCTGTTGATGGGCAGCCATCGTCAAGTGTGAGGACAAAAGGCAGAGCTACGAATTAAATACCAAGAGGGCTTTGGGTTGGCATCAGCAGGGGGTGGAGGGGACTGGGCAAGCTGAGGCTCTCATGGTGGAGCATCAGGATGCTGCTCTGGTTGAGGACTTGCACCACCACCATTTACCCCATGGAATTCTAGTGGACCAAGTGTGCTGCTGGCACAGACACTGCAGGAGGGAGCAATGCTGCTGGAGGGCAGTGCTGACAGAGGTAACAAAGGAGAGAATGACACTTGGGAGGCTATATAAAAAAGATGTGCTTTCTAGAAACAGAACTGATGCATCTTTGACCAGGCGGTTCCCAAGACAATGCTGGAATCACATGTCATTACCAACATCTGCTCTCTCCAATACATTTTGCACATTCTAGCTAGTCAAAGGATTTTTCAAACCATAAAGAATCTCACCAGGGGTTTGGAGCAAAAGAAGAAAAAAAATCATAATCTTGTTGCATTCCACACATCTCAGGGATTTTTCTGAGAACATAATTAAGACAAATGAATTTAAACACTCAATTTCTATAATAGACTCAACAGATCCCCATTAAGTGATATGGGCAGACATCCAAATTACCCTGCTGAAGCCAGCAAAATCATCTTTTCATCAAGTTTTGTTCCATTAAAAATTGCAGATTAAATGTCTAAACATTGTGTGAGCACTTAAAAGCACAGGATAAGGAGAAGACAGGCAGATAATGTCAAGGGGTACCTGAGGATACTGGCTGGTTAACTACTGCCAGATTTTCCTAAACAAGATTAGGAAAGAGCAAGATATGACTATGTGGAGTCAAATCTTTCTTTAATGGTTAGTTTTGTAGCATATAATTTAGGGAAGAAAGATCACTGCATAAGGGGCAGTAAAAGTGGTATATACACTTTATTAAAATATAACATAGAGAAACTGCATGGCTTCCCTTCTAGAGGTCAGTTTTATTATCACTGTTGTCTTTGAGTACGATGGGATACAAAGAGAACTGTTACACCCAGGTGAAATCACACCATCATACTTATCTTGACAATAGACTGATCTGCCTTGAAGACTGAACTGTGTTATGGTAATTCCACAGGAGCAGGGGGGAGCTGCACCATATGTTGGACCCCCAAACTAGCAGGCTGCCCCTCAACCTGACCTACTTCATCTGCTGCAAGATGCTGCTCTTCCATCACAACACAAGAACCCAACACATGCCCTATTCAAAATTCATTCCCCAAGAAGGGCATTAAGAAGGGATGGGTTACAGGCAAGTGGCAAATGAATGTTCATGCTTCCTTCCTCCCCTTTCCGATTTCACATACGCTAAGAATTGCAGTACAAAGAGTTCCAAAAACCTGTGTATAAGGATCAAATTGCTATGAAAACGTCTCAGAACTTGTAAAATAGTCTTTGTTGCTGCTGGCCTTTTTAATAATAAAAATAGGGTTTAAAGTCTGGTCTTCCAGCAAGCCGGAATCTCTAGGGTGACACAATAACCATTTTAGTTAATCTGACCTGCAGCAGAAATCAGGAAATAAGGTACATTTTAAAGTCCTTCCGTGTAGTGAAATGGCACTTGCAGCATGGCTGTAATCACACAAAATGAAAGGTTTTAAAATTGACCTCTCTGTTCTTCACTCAATCCTCTGAGAAAAGTATTTTTTTCCTGCTCACAGAAACTCTCTTATGTCTCATACACCACATTTCAGAAAATATGCAAAATCTATTTTACTGTTACACCAACGACATTTTTGAGGCACTTTAATATTAAAAAATAAATTTCAAGTTGTATAAGAAGACAAGAAGTACTTCAGCTATGAGATGCTGAAACTTTTACTTAAAGCAATACTGCAGATTGGTTTTAAACTCTTTTGGTTACGAAGAACACGATAATGTGGTTGTCTGCCTTATCAGAGCCTCAATAATGCAAGTTATGCAAATCTCAAGGCTTTCCCTAAAGATAAAGAATCCCTTAAACACAAATGATGGAAAGTATACATTGCTACAAATAAAGTCAGCTAATTCACAGCAGCTAATCCATGATGTGTACAGTAGAGGGTGGCTGTATTATCAAAGGTGGTGAAAAATAGTGTTATCTAGCTGAATAGAAGTTCCTCTTGGAAAAAGAGTAGATTAAAGTCTTCATGTCTGGTCACAAAGTACCCAGGACAGGATTCAGGTATTTGATATAAGCTTTCATAAAGGACAAAGCACAAGAAACATTTGCTCTAGATCCTCAAAAAATGGTTTTACCAGGGAAGGTTTTTCAACAGGTAGAGATGAGATCACCTGTCTTAGCCAGGGCTCACAGAGCAGTAACAGGACTGAGGTTAAAGAA